GACCATATCTTGAGGGAAAGAATTTTTTTGGGGAAAAAAGGGGGGGGATAAAAAGAAATTGTGGGGGGTCAATTTTTTTCTCATTTCAGATTTCAGAAATTAAAAAGAATTATTCTTCAAATATTATTTTTTTTTCAAATTTCAAATATTGAAAAATTTCAAGAAGTAATCTTTAATTGCACAGTATGGCGCATTAGATTTGTAAAATCTTTGATCACATTTATTTATTTGTTATGCCGAATCTAACAGTGTATTTAGATTTTTAATTTTGGGTCCAGTTTTCAAATTGGTCTACATTAAGGTCCAAAGGGTCCAAAATTAAACTTTGTATGATTTTAGCAAAAATTGAATATATGAGGTTCTTTGATATGCTGAATCTAAACATGTATTAAGATTTTTGATTTTTGGCCCAGTTTTCAAGTTGGTCCAAATTGGGGTCCAAAATTAAACTTTGTTTGATTTCAACAAAAATTGAATAAATGGGGTTCTTTGATATGCTGAATCTAACCATGTATTTAGATTTTTTATTTGTGGACCCCGTTATCAAATTGGTTCATATTGAGGTCAAAAGGGTCCAAAATTAAACTTTGTTTGATTTCATCAAAAATTGAATTATTGAGGTTCTTTGATATTCCAAATCTAACCGTGTATTTAGATTTTTAATTTTGGGTCCTGTTTTTTAAATTGGTCTACATTAAGGTCCAAAGGGTCCAAAATTAAACTTTGTTTGATTTTAACAAAAACTGAATTCTTGGGGTTCTTTGATATGCTGAATCTAAACATGTGTTTAGATTTTTGATTATGGGCCCAGTTTTCAAGTTGGTCCAAGATAGGGTCCAGTATTTAAACTTTGTTTGATTTCAACAAAAATTGAATATATGGGGTTCTTTGATTTGCTGAATCTAAACATGTATTTAGATTTTTGATTATGGGCCCAGGTTTCAAGTTGGTCCAAATTGGGGTCCAAAATTAAACTTTGTTTGATTTCAACAAAAATTGAATATATGAGGTTCTTTGATATGCTGAATCTAACCATGTATTTAGATTTTTTATTTGTGGGCCCAGCTATCAAATTGGTTCATATTGAGGTCAAAAGGGTCCAAAATTAAACTTTGTTTGATTTCATCAAAAATTGAATTATTGGGGTTCTTTGATATGCCAAATCTAACCGTGTTTTTAGATGTTTAATTTGGGTCCCGTTTTTATACGACCGCAAAAAAATTTTGTGGTCGTATATTGGTATGACGTTGGCGTCGTCGTCGTCGTCGTCGTCCGGCGTCGTCGTCGTCGTCCGGCGTCGTCGTCCGAATACATATTGGTTTTCGCACTCTAACTTTAGTTTAAGTGAATGGATCTTTTTGAAATTTGACCATAAGGTTAAATACCACAAAAGGAAGGTTGGGATTGATTTTGGGGGTTATGGTACCAACAGTTAAGGAATTAGGGGCCAAAAAGGGGCCAAAAATGAGCATTTTCTAGTTTCCAGACAATAACTGTGGAACGGTGTATGGATCTCTCTGAAATTATACTACAAGTTTCCATTACACAAAGGGATGGTTAGGATTTGCTTTGGGGGGTTATGGCTCAAACCGTTTAGGAATTAGGGGCAAAAAAGGGGGAAAAACAAGGTTGTCCTGGTTAATGGACAAATACTTTAGTACAAAACATAATTTAAAGCAGTGTAAGGGAAATAAATCAAATACATCATTGAAATTATCTCCCTTACACTGCTTTTAAATTATGTATAAAGTAATGGTTAATGAACAATAAAGATAATCTAAAACAGTGTAAGGGAGGTAATCCAAATACAACGTTTTGGTTACTTCCCTTACACTGCTTTTAAATTATGTTTAAAGAAATGCATATTTATAAAGGAAGACCAGTAAAAATATCTGCAAATGTTTTCATCTTTTTTTTTTACAAAAAAATCCATATGAAAGATTTGACACTATATTTTTATTAATTCTATTATAAAATAGATTAAGTTAGCACTATGGTAAATTTAAATGGGTAATTATGGTTGCCAACTCCATTGGAAATTTGAATTGAGATTATGACCATATCTTGAGGGAAAGAATTTTTTGGGGGAAAAAGGGGGGGGGGGGGGGGGGGGGGGGTATAAAAAGAAATTGTGGGGAGCCAATTTTTTCTCATTTCAGATTTCAGAAATTAAAAAGAATTATTCTTCAAATATTATTTTTTTTTCAAATTTCAAATATTGAAAAATTTCAAGAAGTAATCTTTAATTGCACAGTATGGCGCATTAGATTTGTAAAATCTTTGATCACATTTATTTATTTGTTATGCCGAATCTAACAGTGTATTTAGATTTTTAATTTTGGGTCCAGTTTTCAAATTGGTCTACATTAATGTCCAAAGGGTCCAAAATTAAACTTTGTTTGATTTCAACAAAAATTGAATATATGGGGTTCTTTGATATGCTGAATCTAACCATGTATTTAGATTTTTTATTTGTGGACCCCGTTATCTAATTGGTTCATATTGAGGTCAAAAGGGTCCAAAATTAAACTTTGTTTGATTTCATCTAAAATTGAATTATTGGGGTTCTTTGATATTCCAAATCTAACCGTGTATTTAGGTTTTTAATTTTGGGTCCTGTTTTTTAAATTGGTGTACATTGAGGTCCAAAGGGTCCAAATTAAACTTAGTTTGATTTTAACAAAAATTGAATTCTTGGGGTTCTTTGATTTGCTGAATCTAAACATGTGTTTAGATTTTTGATTATGGGCCCAGTTTTCAAGTTGGTCCAAGATTGGGTCCAGTATTTAAACTTTGTTTGATTTCAACAAAAATTGAATATATTGGGTTCTTTGATATGCTGAATCTAAACATGTATTTAGATTTTTGATTATGGGCCCAGTTTTCAAGTTGGTCCAAATTGGGGTCCAAAATTAAACTTTGTTTGATTTCAACAAAAATTGAATATATGAGGTTCTTTGATATGCTGAATCTAACCATGTATTTAGATTTTTTATTTGTAGGCCCCGCTATCAAATTGGTTCATATTGAGGTCAAAAGGGTCCAAAATTAAACTTTGTTTGATTTCATCGAAAATTGAATTATTGGGGTTCTTTGATATGCCAAATCTAACCGTGTTTTTAGATTTTTAATTTGGGTCCCGTTTTTTAAATTGGTCTTCATTGGGGTCCAAAATTAAACTTAGTTTGATTTTAACAAAAATTGAATTCTTGGGGTTCTTTGATATGCTGAATCTAAACATGTGTTTAGATTTTTGATTATGGGCCCAGTTTTCAAGTTGGTCCAAGGTGGGGTCCAAAATTATACTTTTTTTTATTTCAACAAAAATTGAATATATGGGGTTCTTTGTTATGCTGAATCTAACCATGAATTTAGATTTTTTATTTGTGGGCCCCGCTATCAAATTGGTTCATATTGAGGTCAAAAGGGTCCAAAATTAAACTTTGTTTGATTTCATCAAAAATTGAATTATTGGGGTTCTTTGATATTCCAAATCTAACCGTATATTTAGATTTTTAATTTTAAGTCCCGTTTTTGTCGAGCCTGCGACTTTTGTCGCAGAAAGCTCGACATAGGGATAGCGATCCGGCGGCGGCTACGGCGGCGTTAGCTAACTTCTTAAAAGCTTTATATTTTAGAAGATGGAAGACCTGGATGCTTCATACTTTGTATATGGATGCCTCATGTTACGAAGTTTCCGTCAGTCACATGTCCAATGTCCTTGACCTCATTTTCATGGTTCAGTGACTACTTGAAAAAAAAGTTCAGATTTTTTGTAATGTTAAATTCTCTCTTATTATAAGTAATAGGATAACTATATTTGGTATGTGCGTACCTTGCAAGGTCCTCATGCCCGTCAGACAGTTTTCACTTGACCTCGACCTCATTTCATGGATCAGTGAACAAGGTTAAGTTTTCGTGGTCAAGTCCATATCTCAGATACTATAAGCAATAGGTCTAGTATATTCAGTGTATGGAAGGACTGTAAGGTGTACATGTCCAACTGGCAGGTGTCATCTGACCTTGACCTCATTTTCATGGTTCAGTGGTTATAGTTAAGTTTTTGTGTTTTGGTCTGTTTTTCTTATACTGTATGCAATAGGTCTACTATATTTGTTGTATGGAATGATTGTAAGGTGTACATGTCTAGCTGGCAGGTGTCATCTGACCTTGACCTCATTTTCATGGTTCAGTGGTCAAAGTTAAGTTTTTGAGTTTTGGTCTTTCTTTCTACAACTGCATGCAATAGGTCAGTTATATTTGGTGTATGGAATGATTGTAAGGTGTACATGTCTAGCTGGCAGGTGTCATCTTACCTTGACCTCATTTTCATGGTTCAGTGGTCAAAGTTAAGTTTTTGAGTTTTGGTCTTTTTTTCTAATACTATATGCAATAGTTCAACTGTATTTGGTGTATGGAAATATTTTATGATCTATATGTCAGTCACGCAGGTTTTATTTGACCTTGACCTCATTTTCAAGGTTCATTGCTCAGTGTTAAGTTTTTGTGTTTTTGTCTGTTTTTCTTAAACTATAAGCAATAGGTCAACTATATTTGCTGTATGGAAGAATTGTTAGCTGTACATGCATGCCTAGCATGGTTCATCTGACCTTGACCTTATTTTCATGGTTCATTGGTCAATGTTTAGTTTACTTGGTTAATGTTAAGTTTATGTGACAGTTGTAATAAAGCTTTATATTTAGGACTATCAACATAATATCAATGATTAGTAAAGAAGGCGAGACATTTCAGCGTGTGCACTCTTGTTTAAATTGGTCTACATTAAGGTCCAAAGGGTCCAAAATTAAACTTAGTTTGATTTTAGCAAAAATTGAATTCTTGGGGTTCTTTGATATGCTGAATCTAAACATGTGTTTAGATTTTTGATTATGGGCCCAGTTTTCAAGTTTGTCCAAGTTGGGGTCCAAAATTAAACTTTGTTTGATTTTAACAAAAATTGAATATATGGGGTTCTTTGATATGCTGAATCTAACCATGTATTTTGATTTTGGACATTGGACCATAATAGGTAAATTAAAAAAATTCAAGTTCTTAGACCACATTCTTTCTGTGTCAGAAACCTATGCTGTGTCAAATATTTAATAACAATCCAAATTCTGAGCTGTATCAAGCTTGAATGTTGTGTCCATACTTGCCCCAACTGTTCAGGGTTCGACCTCTGCGGTCGTATCAAGATGCGCCCCAGCGAAGCATTTTATTTAAATTGGTCTTCATTGAGGTCCAAAGGGTCCAAAATTAAACTTAGTTTGATTTTAACAAAAATTGAATTCTTGGGGTTCTTTGATATGCTGAATCTAAACATGTGTTTAGATTTTTGATTATGGGCCCAGTTTTCAAGTTGGTCCAAGTTGGGGTCCAAAATTAAACTTTTTTTGATTTCAACAAAAATTGAATATATGGGGTTCTTTGATATGCTGAATCTAACCATGAATTTGGATTTTTTATTTGTGGGCCCCGCTATCAAATTGGTTCAAATTGAGGTCAAAAGGGTCCAAAATTAAACTTTGTTTGATTTCATCAAAAATTGAATTATTGGGGTTCTTTGATATTCCAAATCTAACTGTGTAATTAGATTTTTAATTTTAAGTCCCGTTTTTTAAATTGGTCTACATTAAGGTCCAAAGGGTCCAAAATTAAACTTAGTTTGATTTTAGCAAAAATTGAATTCTTGGGGTTCTTTGATATGCTGAATCTAAACATGTGTTTAGATTTTTGATTATGGGCCCAGTTTTCAAGTTTGTCCAAGTTGGGGTCCAAAATTAAACTTTGTTTGATTTTAACAAAAATTGAATATATGGGGTTCTTTGATATGCTGAATCTAGCCATGTATTTTGATTTTGGACATTGGACCATAATAGGTAAATTAAAAAAATTCAAGTTCTTAGACCACATTCTTTCTGTGTCAGAAACCTATGCTGTGTCAAATATTTAATAACAATCCAAATTCAGAGCTGTATCAAGCTTGAATGTTGTGTCCATACTTGCCCCAACTGTTCAGGGTTCGACCTCTGCGGTCGTATCAAGCTGCGCCCCAGCGAAGCATTTTATTGTATCTTCCTTGTTCATTTTCCTCCAGATAAATTACTGACTATCACCATGAGGCTTATAACATGTATAAGTAGGCTTAATTCCTCCAAGGTCTCCAGTTATGTCCTGTCTGTGACAAAAGTTTCAGAATACAAGACATGCAAAACATGAAATGCTAATCGGACAACAACATTTACTATTTATATGAAGTTTTATATTTCAGAGGGTAGAAATCATGGATTTGTCATTCTTAAAATCATAATCATGATAATGTATAAGGAATCCTTATGTTTAGAAGTTTCTGTCAAGACATTTGTCCATTGTCCTTATTCCCTTTTCATTGTTCAGTGCTCCTTAAAAAACTACATGTGTAGTGATTTTATCAAGTGAATTTGTGGCATATTATAAGTAATACGATAACTATATTTTGTATACATGTATGTGATCAAAGGTTTACATGTACATGTGTTGTCAGACGGGGTTCAACTTGTCTCTCAATTTTTTGTCGAGCCCCGGGTTCTCACTAAGGCGAGTCCTGGACTCATCATTTTCAAAACTTGCGAGTCCCAAGATGCATGAAAATTGTAAAATGTTGTATCAACTGAGCACATACATGTATATCACCATTTTATCACAAAAGTTAAAAAATAATCTAAATTTTGTGTAATTAGGGATAGTGATGCGGCGGCGTTAACTCACTTCTTAAAAGCTTAATATTGCAGAAGGTAGAAGATCTGGATGCTTCATACTTTGTATATAGATGCCTTATGATATGAAGTTTCCGTCAGTCATATGTCTATTGTCATTGACCTCATTTTCATGGTTCAGTGACTACTTGAAAAAAAATTTCAGATTTTGTTTCATGGATCAGTGAATAAGGTTAAGTTTTCATGGTCAAGTCCATATCTCAGATACTATAAGCAATAGGTCTACTATATTTGGCGTACATGTATGTAATGATTGTAAGGTGTACATGTCCAGCTGGCAGGTGTCATCTGAGACCTCATTTTCATGGTTCAGTGTTACTAGTTTAGTTTTTGTGTTTTGGTCTGTTTTTCTAATACTGTATGCAGTAGGTCAACTATATTTGGTGTATGGAAATATTTTACAATGTACATACATGTATCAGTCTGGCAGGTTTTATTTTACCTTGACCTAATTTTCACGGTTCATTGCTCAATGTTAAGTTTTTGTGTTTTGGTCTGTTTCTCTTAAAATTTAAGCAATATGTCAACTATATTTGGTGTAAGGAATGATTGTAAGGTGTATGCATGTATGTATGTCTGGTAGGTATCATCTGACCTTGACTTCATTTTCATGGTTCATTGGTCCATATGGAATTTCCATGGTTTGGTCTGTTTGTTTTATACTACAAGCAATAGGTCATCTATATTCTGTGTATGGAATGATTGTATTAAAGGTGTACATGTATTTCCGCCTTGGTTTATCTGACCTTGACCTCATTTTCTTGGATCATAAATGTTAATGTGATACTTGTAGTAAAACTTTATAAGTAGGACTATCAACATAAAATCAATGGTCAGTATAGTAGGCGAGACATTTCAGCGTGTGCACTCTTGTTTCAACTTATAAGTCTACAGATATCTGAATAAAAAATTAAGGTATATACATTAGGTAAAAATAAAAGACGGTGTTCATGTGACCCCAACCTCATTTTACCCATCAGTGATTAAGGTTATTTTTTTGTGCAAATTAATATATATTGTGGTTAATTCCATTTCTCAGATTCTACATAATGTATATAAAGCAGTAGGTCAAAGTTTACATATGAACAAGAAGAGATACTATACATGAAACGTTTATATATATGTTAATGATGATGATGATGATGATGATGATGATGATGATGATGATGATGGATAGCTGCTTACAGTCCAGTGGCAAATTAATATGCATATTCAGGACAAGAATATGTTTATGTGATGTGAATAATAACCCTGCTTTGTAATAGACCGACAGCAACTAAAATAGAAAAAAATAATTAAATGACATCTAGAATGCAACCTACATGTATATATAAGGCTTCAATAGAAGGAAAGGCAATTGTCTATGCAATATGTCAAGCTCTAGTCTTTAATGTGTCTATAAAAGTAGTGAATAAATTCAGCAGAAATATCTTGTTCATTGTGTCTGTGATAATCATTCATGTACATGTACATCACATCACTGCATGTACAAAAATGTACCACATCTATTTTATATAGATCTGTCATATGCATTTAATACACAATCCAAAAAAAAAAAAATAAAAACTATAGGCCATGCAACATGTACTACAAGTATACAACAGGATGAAAAATTTTGTTCTGCATTTTTTTTAGTTGTAATATCTGTCCTGCCTTTTTATTTTTCACTCTATTTGGTCCTGCCTTTTTTAAAGTTTATCCTGACTTTTTTTTTTACCTAAATTGTCATCCTGAGGCCATGTTTGTTTGCCCTAACCCTATCTACCCATATAATAGCTGCCTACTCAAAATCTTTTATTGTCCTGATGTGAAAAAGTTTTTTTTTTTAATCAGATAGGCATGAAGACTAAAAATCATCTGACACTTTAATTACTCTTTACTGAAAAAAAAGAAAATGCCTACCTACCTACCCACTGTCTCTACCTTTGGGTAGGGTTTGGGCAAACCAAAATATTTTTAAGTGTGGCCTGACTTTTTTTTTTGCAAGTGTCTCATCCTGCCTTTTTTTTACTCAAAACTCCTGTCCTGCCTATTTTTTTCAAATTTCATCCTAGCCCCCCCCCCCCCCCCCCCCTAAAAATAAAATGGTAGCTCCCTATATAACTTTTTCAAATTAACTTGAATTTGAATAAAACTCTACAGCTATCTCAATCATATATTGATCTTACAAAATACAAGGTTATTTGGAAGTCAGGTTTATTGCTATGGCTGTAAATGTAAGGATTTATTTAAAAGGTAAAAAAGCAAGAATTTTCAGTTCGAGCTAAATTCACAGCTATCTATATCATATATTGATATTACAAAATGCCTGGTTATTAGTCCCCTACCGTCAAAGTCGAAGGGGACTTTAGGTTTGCACTCCATCCGTCTGTCAGTCTGGCAAATCAGTTTTCCACACTTTTTTTTTTCTTCGTGCTTGAAGATATTGTTTTGATTTTTGGTGTATTGTTTTATCATGACAAGTTAGAATTTTATTTATCAATTATTATGTCAATGATAGACAAGGATTGGTTTTTTGTATATATGTATCTGCTACAGCATGGGAATTGTATAGGAAATACACATGTATTTAAATATATAGCCTACTACCTAAGATTTTTTTCTTACTAGATACAAAATAAAAGAGCCCCCCCCCCCCCCCCCCCACCTGACAGTTCACAAAAATTCGTACGGTAATGCACCTCTCTAGTAGACTCGATCAACTGAGCTAAAAAAAACTTCACCAGAGCAGCTAATAGAGGACAGTTTTTTTTCTTGTATGCAAGCCGAGGGGGGTGCTTGTGGCGCTAAACATATATATGTATGGTTTATCAATGCTTAGACTTTTTACATGTCCCATTCAAACTATGCATAGTTTGCACCCCCTTATCAAAATCCTTGATCCACGTCTGGCAGAGGGAAGCAGTCAGGGGCGGATCCAGCCATTTATAAAAGGGGGGAGGGGTTCCAACTATATGTCCCCATTCAAATGCATTTGATCGTCAAAAAAAAGGGGGGGGTTCAACCCCCGGAAGCCCCCCCCCCCCCCCTGGATCCGCCTCTGGCAGTGCTATAGTGTACAGTTTAACAGTGTTTACTGTACTCTTTAATTTCCACGATTACGATCCGACCTCAAGTCATAAAGCATATGAGGCACATCTGAAAACTTTGACAAACGTCACATATTTCAAATATTCATGGCTATAGTTACAATATGACGACGAAAGAGATTTAAAAACTATTTGCAAACGATTAACAATCGAAGCGATAAATTTTAAGTCCCATTGTTTTTATTTTTTGGATACCCTCGGGACCTTTCAATGAACCTCATTCAAGTAAATATGTTCCGCGTGCGCTGTTCAGATTGGATAAATAGAATTCTGATTGGTTGAAAAAGTCACATGCAAAATCTTTCAGAAGTGAAACCTTATACGGGTAGTTGTTAGATCTTCGTATGTAGTATAACGTAGTATAACGAAATCCGAGATCTATATTTTAATTAGATTGGGTTATTTAAAACTAAAGTTTGTTGACCATCAATATTACCTAAGTTTATTCGTAGAGACTTTCTCAGTCGGGATAATATGCCTTATACTTTAAGTTGAAATGCGCACGATGTTTTTGTCGAACCTGCGACATCTGTCGCAGAAAGCTCGACATAGGGATTCGGCTACGGTGGCGAAGTTAAAAAACATATTAAAAGCTTAATATTTTGGAAGGAAGAAGACTTGGATCCTTCATTCTTTGTATATAGATGCCGCATTTTATGAAGTATCGGTCTGTCATATGTTCATTGTCCTTGACCTCATTTTCATGGTTCAGTGATACCTGAAAATAAAAGTTCAGACTTTTAGTATTCTGTTTTTCTCTCTTATTAGGATTAATAGGATAGCGATTTGGTATGTGCATACCTTGCAAGGTCCTTATGTCCACCATACAGTTTATTCTTGACCTCAACATTATTTCATGGAACAGTAAACAACGTTACGTTTCTGTGGCCAATTCTATATCTCAGTTACTACAAGCAGTATGCATGTCTATTATATTTGGTGTATGGAACAATTGTTAGGCGTTTGTGTACAACTGACAGGTGTCATGTGACCTTGACCTCATTTTCATGGTTCAGTGGTTTAAGTTAAGTTTTTGTGTTTTGATCTGTTTTCCTTATATGGGATGCATTAGGTCAATTGTATTTGATGTATTGAAATGTTTTACAATGTATATGTCTGTTCGTTTTATTTGACCTTGACCTCATTTTTGCGGTTCATTGCTCAATGCTAGTTTTTGTTTTTTGGTCTGTTTTTCTAATACTATAAGCAACAGGTCAACTATATTTT